TTGTAGAAATGGATGAAGTGTCGTTGATTTGTGAGAATACCCAAATACTTTGTACAAAGAATCATACGTCAGGACCAATAAATGAAGGTGCTGCAGGAAAAATCTTCTTCCTTGGGTGAAAAAATAGTTCACAAACAACTTGACGTTCTGCACAGTTCTGGTTCTTGCAACAAAGCACTAAAAATAACAAATTTCAAGAAAAATAACAAAAACCCTAGATGAATACGAATCTGAGAATGGGTGAGAGGGCTAAAGGTGCTGCGAAAGCACATACCATCTTGCAATGTTTTTAAACACTCCACAATATTATATTTGATCAATTGGTTTAATGTAATTTATGGTTTACAAATAGGACATGAAAGTTGTAAACTTGTTTAAAATTTCAAAATGTGAAAATGACATACATACACTTCCAGTTTATTTAGAATCTTAATAGATTGTATATGCAAGTAGAATTGCTTGAAACGATTTTCAATAATGTTTTTGAAATTCTCAATAGTTTTCTGCGTCAACAGAGAGTTGTGACAAATAATTATCCCTGAGCCAGTCTTTAATCAGCGGCACTACCCTCCAAAACCAAGAGTCCCAACCCAACATTTAAACACTTTGGCCACCCACTAATAAAGATATTTGGCACTTCCGTAAGTCATAACATGCCGAAAGACAACAACTGATTTCATGGTTCGTACGATTTACGTCCCATATGAGATGTGAAAAATTGTGTGAAAATTTGAAAATCACATACAGACACTTCCAGTTTATTTATCTTGATTAATAGTATTTGCGATCAGAATTGCTTCAAATGGTTTTCAATAATTTTTCTGGAATTATCAATTATTTCCAGCGGCAACACAGAATTGTCACAAATAGTTCCCAAGAAAGACTCAAACCACCCAACCTGCCCTCCGAAGAGCTCAGGCTTTACCCCGTATTAGCAACCTCGGCTATCCAGTTATGACATGAAATTAATACTTACATATTAGTAATAAGTGTATGGTAGTTTCAGTTCTTGCATTACAGAGCCGAGTAATTAAAAAAATGTTTGTTTTTTGGGTGACGAAAGGAAACAGGTAAGGAGACAATGAGGTCTATTGGAAAAGCTGGTGAAGAGTAGAAAGAATACAAGAGCTAGGAAGTCTGTGCCAGTCTGTACCAGCACCACAAGTTTTTATTTATGAGTGCTAGTGTTGACCACAGACTGTCAGATGTTTTGCCAACAATTGATTTTTTGGTTTCAAGAACCAACAACACATGGATTCTGACTACACCATGAGTCAGAGGTTTTACCCTGCTAAATTTAGCGACAGGATTCATCCACTTTTTTGTTACCCGAACCTGGTGATAAAGATTTTTCTGGCGAAATTTCGGCATTTTTGGCACGTGATTACATGACTTTCTCTTCTTATGAAGAATTCGTAATGTGAGAAAGTAAAAAAGGAATATCAAAGAATACAATTATTACACCTAAGAAAGAACTTTTTATGAAAATCACTAGATCTCAGTGAAATTTTCGTCTATCATCAGACAAGGACATAAAATGCATCACAAGCAGTATGCATCGAAGCTCTCAAGAATGCCAAGGGTGCATTTACTAAATACTTAAGAATTTGTTTCAAAAGTTGTAAATAATTTATTGAAGTATTAAACCAGTATTTTTTATTTTATACCTTCCTTAAATACACTACAAATAAGTAAAATAAAACACTAAAATGTTTGGTATAAAATCCGTCTACACATTTACAAATAAACTTTACAATTACCTCAAAAACCACTCTAGTATATTAATTTGGCCACCCACTGGACTAGAATGCAAAGTTTCGTACAATGACACTGACAGCAAGCCAAGGTAGTTTCATTCCATATGCACAGTAGCTTCAGACTCAAAACTAGAAGATGACACTAAGCCACATATTGATCTTGTAAATAATGGTGCTGCAGGTTTGCATGTTTCAGTTTTTGATTCACACATTCAGTAAAACCTCCTTTTTTACATTCCTGCATGTTATGTTTTCCTGCCTTTTACCTAGTTTTCTTTGGTCCCACCATAAAGCCTAATTTACAATGCATTCTCTTTCCGCAATTTACAACTCGATATGAAGAGTTCTCCCCATCTTTTACATTTCTTTCTTTTAATTTTTAACATTCTCGTATACATTCATATTTTTATACCTAATGCAGAGGAAGTTTTATAATGCTGCAGCAAAAAACGGCAATTTTCAACAGAAAAACTTGTAGATACAAAAAAAAGTGGATAAATCATGTTCCAATAGGAAGTAAATTACTACATATGTATGTAACAAACTCGCAAAAGCCTTGAGTTCGTATAGATCAATTGGGAAATATTAATATTGGGGAAAATTGGCAGACGGTTTAAGTGCCAGTGTTGACCACAGATGGACAAACAGATGTTTTGCCGTCAATCGATTTTACTGTTTCAAGAAACCTTAAAAGAGGGATTCAGGCTACACCACATGTTTGAGAGAGAAATTTACTATACATAGGAATATGATTTATCCACTTTTTCATTACCAGGTGAATAAGAGATTTTCTGAGGAAATTCACCATTTCCAGTGCACAATTTTACTTTCTCTTCTTACAAAGGGTGAGAAAGTTAAAACAGAGCCACCATTGCTGTTAATAATGAAAGTACTTGCCTAGCCTATCATTTTCAACTTTCCTACATTTTACACGTTTTTCATCAGCCCCCTGAAAAGTGTTAGAAAGGTGTTTTACTGTATATATCAATGGGCTGTTTACACAAATTGCTGCAAAAATATTTGTTTTGTACGTTTGTAAATTTTAATTGGTTTAGACCTAATGTGAGAACACTCAGAAGAAAATATTAAATCCTTGTACTGTGTGTTGAAAATTAAAGAACACATCACATAAACATATTTTTAATATACAGTGTTATGGTTTTTCCTGCAGTAATAATTACTGTACTTAGACAAATATACAACAGGATTTTTTCCCTAAATATCTCATTTGAAAAATGTGAGGTTGTCTTATATTTACAAATTAGTAAGCCAAGTCAGTTGGGATCACACTGCATTTCCTTGTCAAGAAACTCAGAATACTGACTTAATAATAAGCTGCACAGGCAATGTATATCACACAGATCTATAATACTTAAATATATTTGTGAATGTATTCTTGACATCTATTGGAGATTTGCTGTGTGATTCACCAAATATTTTTGAATGTGTTACTAAAGAAAGAATCTCAAATGAAAGGCATTGTAACTACATGGCTGTCCTGGAGATGCCACATCCTAGGCCCGGATGTCAATATTCGGCTGCCTCAAGGCAAAATGCATGTCATCATGAGGAAGGTCAAAGAATGGTGGCCGAAACGTTGACACCTGTGCCTAGGATGCGCCATCTCCCAGATGGCCAAGTAATTACAGACTCCGGCTGCAGAAGCCTACACACCGAATGGCATTGTAGTAAGTGAAATAAAATATAAAAATGAATAAAAATCGAAGCCTGTATTTTGTTACATGATGCACTGATTGACAAGACTGCACAGACTGTTTGTCATCTGGCCAATTAGAATCTGCATTTTAGAAGAGATGGAAATTGTTGTTGATTTAATAAATACACTAATTATCTCTACTATTAAATATGTTGGATCACTGTTTTGATAGATTATACCTTTGATGTTATAATTTTTTGTATTTTATTATAAGCCTATAAATGGGTATAAACCACCTGCCTTGTAAATTAATAGAGAAATGAAAAAATAAATACATGTAGGGAGATGTACAGGGTTGTAGACCACAAATTAAACGTACAAATTTAAAGTTAATGGTTGTTAAAGAAACCTACAACAGTAAGTAAATCTGGCAACACAGAAGGGAAATTCCTTAGTTGGTATCAGATGAGGCCAAGAATACAAATCCAATGCACAAAACTTTGTAGGGGCACAAAACCAGGAGAATATGGAGGGTGTCTAAAAAGGAAGGCAAGACGAAATAGAAGCTCTAGTGGTAAAACGGTACCATGCTGACATAATATACAGCAAATACATTATAGATATATAATAGTCCATAAAACTAGTCCCTAAAAGCTGAATTCATCAGAAAAGTGCAAATGTTGCACATCCCAATGTCCTTAATTGCCAATGCATTTGATACATTCTTTAATCTAATACCTTTCAACACTTCTTTTAATCTAATTAAATGTCATTATTATATTCCTTGACAATCATATTCTTGACTACTTCAACTGACCCATACACAAACCATGATCTGTATCTTCCACTTAGATATTTTCCAAAACATCTTTATAACAAACAGTACAGCCCACCCCCTCTCCAATCTTGCCAAGGGAAGTGTCAACTTATTGTAATTCAGAATAAAAATGAAAGAACATAAATGCTGTGTGAGAGAGAGAGAGAGAGTTTATAGACATTCCACTTGTGTGGTGTGGAAGCACAAGCTACTTCATTGGAGGTGCTACAAGTAGATGCCTCCAAAACACAAGCGTTATTGTACTAATTTTCTTGTAAATGTAAGGAGGTATCACGAGACCCACACTCCTTCCCACCTCTTGTTCCTCCCAATACCCCCACCATTCTCTAAGGTTATACCAGATTCTCCACTTAAACCTAGCTGCTTTCCATTGATTATGCCTTTTATGAAGCAGTCATCATATGTCTTAAAAATTTGTTATATCCCTCCAGACACACATTTTGAACTAGAATGTAACAACATGGTCATACTCATTTGACAGCAAGAATTAATGTCAAAAGTTTGTTTTCATAGAACAAAACATTGAAACTTATTTGACCTTGCTCCAACAATTTAATATTTTTTTGATGAAATCATTTTGCACTGCTGATGTGTTATCTATAACTAAGTACATAATTGAGCTAACTAACAAAACTGGGACCTGAAGAATATGTACCAAAATTCAAAAATTATTATCAACATTAAAATTATTTTCTAAACTATAAAAAAGAATCTTACTTTTGCCAGACTGGCAGTAAAGAGGACACATTCATATAATTCACCCATTCGCTGCAAAAATTCATCCACATACGGCCTCTTCAAAACATACACCTGATGTACGGTTCCATCTATTTCCACAGGGACCACAAAGTCAGCATTATTAATAGGCTGTAAAAAATAGTGTAAAAGTTAAAATTAAATTAATTTATATTATGAAATTTCAATATTAATACAGTACTCAAAGAAATGCAATTTTCAAAGGAAAATACAATATTTAAAAATTATTTAAGTAGCTTAAATTAATGCAAATTCAAAAGGTAATTTTTTGCTCTTCTAGCAACTCAGTGACAGATGCACATTAAAAACGTAGTCCTATTTTTTTTTTTTCTTCTTCCAAGTTTAATCTGTAATATTCTATTTAATGATATCTTTAAATTCCAAATTACAAAATCAATGATATTGATGAATTATATAAGCAAATATTATTTTCCAAGTTAGAGATACTCTATACCAACATTTTCATTGAACATTAGTTCTTTTACACAGTTCCTTACCTTAAAAGAGCTATGGACCAAAGTTTCATCCAAATCAATCACCATGCACTTTTTGTGCATATCCTGGTGTCGGACCGTAGGGAGGAGGTAGCGTGGGGAGCCAGGGCTGAGCGGAGGGGAACACCTGCCCTCTGCTCCATAGGAGCCCTTTGATCCCTTAGGCCCAGGTGGACGGCTGAAGCAGCACAGCAAGGTTCGCAGCAAACCCCGGCGGGGCTTCTTGCCGGCTTGTCCTTCAAAAACGATAACATTCAGTGATGTGCATCTAAGGTCTAAATTCCATAGACTACATGGTCAGGGATTCGCAACCCTTATTTTGTAGTGACTTCTTTTAACACTTTTCGGGCTATGTCCGAGTACTGCTCGGGCCAACAAAGCCGAAGTGGTACTCGTTTTCATGTTTCAAGGTTCATGCTATAGAAACATGGAGGTTTAGCTGGGCATTGCTTGTTTGTCATAAGGCAATAGTTCCAGTATTTAGAAAAAAATCCACCAGCTCACAGCACATACTAAGAGAGGATTGTTAATGTTTTATATTTGGGTCAAACTGCTGAGGGTAGCAGTTCAAAGATGGCTACCATGAGTTTGCAAGATTATATAGTCCAAACATAGGGAAGTCCAAAACTATTTTTAGTATCATTGTTGATGCCAAGAAAATAACAGAAAAATAATCTAGGTTTCTGTGTAAAAATTATGCTTATATAAGATCCTATATAATATTTGAAGTTTTTCTTGAAAAAAACACACTTTTCAAGCACAATTTCAAAAATGATAGAAACACCCAATTGATGTTGCGATAGTGACACCCCACAACTGCCTATTGATGAAATATGTTATTGTAAAGATGAAATATTACTTACAATAACATGATAATAGCTTTAAAGCTCTTATTTTTAGTAAAAATACAAAATATTGCCCAACTATCAGTTAGATGGGACCAAGCACTATCCAAGAAGAGCAGTAGGGAAAATATTAAAAGAATGGTTTTCTTCATCCACACCTCTTCAATTTATTCCCAATTGGAACATCATGAATACAAATAACTGCACTTATAGAGAAACTTTTAATGTTCCTGCTTTTAAGGAATAACTTTTCAAGGTCTGACATAATTTCCATAAGAACAGTGTAATTATACATTAAAAAAATGTAACTGTCCGTCACTATTCATTGACATTAGAAGATAGTCTGGTGCAGAGGTTTCTTGACAGACATAAGTCATTTCAAACATTTAAAATAAAAATAATCATAAACTTAAAAGTTTTTATTCTTCATTAACAAATATCTTTTTATGATTATTCGTGGATCATTTAGGTTATAAAGAATATAACAGGAAAATATTTTAGTGAACGTAAACTACAAGTTACTGATGTTAATGTACATAAAAAACATGATACAATTATAATAAAACACAAGCATTCGATATAAAATGATATAAAACATGTGAAGACTCTGCATTTAAAAAAAGAAAAAGATAAGATATTAAAATAAATAAATGTGAACCCTAGCCAGTGCAAAAAGTTTAAACAGTTTAAAAGGTTATAAACTAAGCAGATTGAACCATATTTTTATAACTTTACAGGAGAGCCTGTATAAATGTTAACATTAATTTTTTGATAATAATTATTTAATAATGTTTTCTATGATTGTAAATGGTCACTGTACATACTCCTGTAAAAAAAAGATATATTTATTATTGTAGCCCTGATGAAGGCTGAATAAATATCAGTAACATCAGCAATGTAAAGTAGCGTTATTTTTATATTAACAAACTCAAGAACCACACAACATATAACTTCAACAGGTTAAGAATCACAATATGATTAACCCTGTGGTACACACGCTAGGAAAAGTTAACCCAGCACACACTGTGATTTCTCAAATGCATCATCTTAATTTTAGCTGATCTTGCTTCACAAACTGACAACTAGGTTTCTTTGGCCCAAACACACAATAAATAGGATGGAAATTATGTAACTTTACTGAACTACAATATTTATCAATAATAAGAACAAATTACTCTTTAAAAAATTGTATCAATTGTAAATGTAGTACATGTTCCGGCCTGTAATATACTGTGCCACACATGGCTTGATTGAGATTATTCTGGTGACATCAGCATATATCCCATTGGTATATATATGACTCCTAAAAATCGTAAGAGAGAGGGTCTGAGATGGATGGTGCACTCAAAAAATTCTGTCTCTCTATAACCACAAAAACAACTGTCATATGAGAGTTCGACCATGTGTGCTGGTTAAGGCTTTCCTGTACTTTTATCATTTTTAATTTTTTTTAAAATACAAACTACTTTTAAATATAGAATTACAGATTCTAATATGCACAACAGTATAATTTTCATTAATGTAGTTCCAGCCAACTTGATTTTTTCTAATAACCTAATTTTTAAAATAACCCAATTCTAATAATAATATTTTAAGACGAATATTTTTTGATAATATATATTTTTATTTGTTGACTTATAGTTAATATTTATAACATTTGAAATTGATAGATTAAATGACTCATTAGTATAGAAAATTAGTAAAGGCTATATATTTTAATATGCATTATTGTCTTCTGTGAGGTTGAAGTTTCCAAGAGCCCTCCACCTCTTCCGATCCCACAACCAATCAACTTCAATAATATTTTTTTCTTATTAGAATGACCTGATATTGATTAAAATTATTAGTCACCGGTACTTGTTTGTGTACTGACCCTCTGTTCATCATTGACCCCCTTTGAATATTTCATCAACCTCCAGGCACTGACTCAATACTGACACTCTTAGGAACTCAGTATGCAAACAATGTGTAGAAACATACACAGCATAATCTATGTAGACAGGAGGTAATTATCTTATTTGAAGAGGAAAGAGGAGGTTGATGCCTTTTGAACATGTGATTAGGTGTTTGTGCTCCTAGGACTCACGAGATTTACAAAATACAAAAAGAACAGAAAAACAAAAAATCCCTAAAGGTGCTAGATTAAAATCAACCAACTATTTATAATTAGAGTATAGCATTGTTAATTTAATGATATACTTTTTGATTTTCATACTACATACATATGCATTGTTGTTTCTCAAATTCTGTTTTATTTCCTTAAGTGTAAATGTTTTCAAGTTATACATAATACAGCAAAATTTGTCTAAACTGGAACCTGTACAAGCCAGAAATATGCCTTAACCAGAAAATGTCTCCGGCCCATGAAGTTAAATGCATAGCATTACAGAGCATAAAACAGAATCTGCCCAACATGAAAACAGGACAGTTTTTCATGTCCTACAGGAGAAAAATCCTTTATAAAGCAGAATTCCTGTGAATTGGCAAAGAAACGTGAGATATACTATGAAAAGAATGCATCAGCAAGTCCATTTCAAATTCTCTATCCCAGTGACACGCAATTTAGTTGTAGCTGCCGCACAGTGGAGAGGACTTTAGCTGTCCGAGTAGAATTCGGGTCGCTTGTCCCTCTTGGCTATGTCATATGGGAATTCTCTCCCTCCTGAATCTCTGAGTACGGGAAAGTTTAAGAATATTGGTTCTATTTGCACATCTCCCTGCCCGTGTTGAAAATCATAACCCCGCAGCCAAACACACACTGCTCAAGGCCACACAAGGGAATCAGAAAGTCATAGTGCTCTGTGACTCATTTTTCAGAGTAAGCAAGCAGTCCAACTGCAGCTACTAGTCCATGAGGTAGAGGGAATTTTTTTTGAGTTTCAGAACCACATTAATTGCTTGAAATAAACAACAATATAAAACTAACCTTAGATGAAAAGGTCAAACTTACTGAAGCAAGAGAAACTCAGATGCTGTCAATGAAGAATGTTTAATATTAATTTATTGGCGATTTCCATCCCCCAATAACCATAACCATAAATACGTTATAAGCTAATGTTAATTATAATTAAGTCATGCAACTCACTAGTTTCAGGATGGAAATATCAATATTACAAGTGTCATAAAATAGACAACCCTGCATAAAACATAAATCATTCCCTAAATTGGATTTTTTTTTGTCCTGATCAAGTTTGGCATAGATTTTATTGTATTTCAATTCTAAGACTGAAATTTGTTCTATTCTTAAGGTATTGTAATTAAGATAATATCAACATTTATAAAATACATAAACTTATCAATCTTTACCCCTTTGCAATAGAAATGTTTGATATGTAATTGAATATTTAGAAAAACTGATGAGGAAAAAAACAATAAATAATTGTAAGATTTTGTAATTTGGTTCTAATTAAGTATGAATCTAGAATGGGAGTAAATATATTTAGTATGATATTATCCATCCATTCTGCTAGTCAATTTGTAATTTAAAAATTGGAAGGAATTTCAGAGCGGTAACACTGAATAAATATTGGTGTTACGGCATTTAGTCTGGAACCAAAAGTCAACCTACCATTTGAAATAACTTCATTATTGATCATTAAAAATTCAGATACTAATGCACAACTATATTCATGAAAAATCATAAATACCAACAGCTATTATGTGTTTCCTGTATCCTCAAACCTGTATATCAAAACTTTGTAAATACTTAATGTACTTTAGTGAGTTTATCTTAACTGTCAAAATTGAAATACCCCTTTTCTTTTAAGCACACCAACAAAACCTTTTCATAACGATATTTACAATATGTTCGGTCATATTATTCTATTAATATGATCAAGAATAACATTAATAAGCAATTAGAAGGGAAAAACTTACCTGGTAGTGACAATTCATTTTCCACCCTTGGCAACTGAACTAAAAGAAATACAAAATACAATTATTAGATTTATTCAATTGAGTGCAGAATGAAGATAAGCTAGTAATATGAATACTTGACATAAAAGATCGCATATTGCCAAAGGCTGATAAGGGTCCAATATAAACATACATTCTGTTTACTAAGAAGGCAGGGAAACACGCCTACCGTGTGGCCACTAGCCATATAAAAACGAAGCCATAATGTGCACTTTGAAAGTATTTAAAGGCAATATTGCATAGTAGTTTTGATACACAAACAGAATAAATGTTGAAGTAATAACTGTACATTTCGATTGTTAAAGAGCTATTAAAACCTCCTTTAACAGGTGCAACACCCATGCATCAGACCTACTTACCTTTCTCAGGAGAAAAATTACTCAATTGTTCGTCATCCCGTGACACCTGTGTTATGATGGACGATGCGTCCATTTAAACATTTGTTGATAATCTCTCTGTTGTACTCTATTTTGGAAGGATTAATCAGAAACACCATAAAAATCACTAGATATCCAAAATGGCAGATGGCCTTTCAACTCCCGACTTGTTGTTGTGGTCTTGGTGTACTACGTATTCAATACACCATCCGTCACGAAGACGCGTTGTAATTTGGGTTTTATCGGCATCTTATTGCTATGATGTATCTGGTAATAAAAATAAGTAGTTTTTAACAATTCTGTAGGTGGTGACGTTCATTTACAACCAAACCAATTCTTCACATACTTGACGTATTTTTATTAAACAGGGATCCTTCGACACTTTTTAATATGGTTGTGCTGTGATAAAAACAAAAATTAAACCAAAGTTGGAGGTTAAATTCTGAAAAACTGCTTGAAGCTAAAGAAGCAGAATGCGAGTTAGATATCTGCTAATTAATTGAACTGAATATTGCACTACGGGCAATTTAAGGAACGTTTTTACAAACTAATAAAATATCGTCGAAATAAGTCGCTCTTTGAAATTGTTACGTAAGTTTTCCAACTTTTAATACACTTCGGAAAATCGAAACAAGTTGAAGTCTACATACACGTAATAATTGTGAAAAATGTGTGACATATTTGGTGGATGAGGGTACGGATGTTAAAATTACTAATATTTTACGAACACAGTTCCCGAAATTCAAAGGGGTCAATGCTGAGATTGTCCTTCACGTTGAGAAGTGTTCTCTGACATATATTAGATCTGTGCTTTGGTGAAGTTACTACCAAAGTCCAAACTACTTCATTAATTTTGAACAGAGATTTTGGATTATTGTCCCTTTGCTTAAAATCTTTGCAAAAATGGAATAGAATCGTAATTCTTCAAATTCGGCTACAAATTCATATTTTATTGTTGAAATGAAGTTTACTATACTATTCAAAATCTACAAACCTGAAAAAATGTTTTTAATAATTTAGCAGTATCTTGTATTCATTGCTTTCCCTTAATTTACAATATTAATTTCCTGAAAACTAAAATTGAAAAGTATTTAGTGATAAAAATTATATTATTTCACGTTTGAATGTGAGATTTTCAAGGGAGGACGGAATATCCAAATTAAGAAGCACCAAAAATTGAGTAACACATTATGATAATTTTAATTATAGGAAATATGTCCTTTTGTATCTCCTAATTAATATTTTTAAAATGTGTATAATTGATAATCATATTTTCTGCAAATCTTTACAGATGTTGCATGTGATAATTGAATGATAAATTTCTGTAAAATAAAGAAAAAAATCAACTAGCCCAAAACACAAATTAAAAAAAAAAAAAAAATTACAATTGATGTTTGCTATGAAACTGAACATCAGAGCGTAACAGAAAGAATGTCTAAAAAATCAACACAGTTAAAACCTGTTAAAGTTTTTTAAAGTAATTTTCTGACATTTTTAGTTGTTCTGCAACATAATGCTGCTAGATAATTTTTCAAAATAAAAATAGTTGAGGCATGAATTTGATGAAAAAAGAAAAAGCAAAAACTACCCATTTATTCCATCCTTTAAAAATATTGCACATTTTTGGAAAACTCTACCAATATCCACAGATATGCAACGGCCAAATCCTTACTGGAGCCATTCATTGAACATTACAACTACCTGAAGTTTGTTGGGGTAATGAGGCCACATCTTTATTCCAGGGCTTTAAGCCCCTGCAAGTACTCAAAAACATGCTCCGTATATATTTACATTTTGCACAACCTCAAGTAAAAAAAATGTTTAAAATGAAAAATTATAAAAGATTAAAAATCATTACACAAATACATACTATTTTACTTCAAACTTATTTTGGACAAAAAAAAATGAACTTTAAGAATATTTAAGAGACTTTTGCATTAAAGGCATTACCTACAAAGACAGAAAACCCAATAGGAGTATATACAATGTTTTTAATAGCACCTTTGTATAATGCATGGAAATTATGTTACATAAATACAGGACATAGCTAAAAATATTTCTTCATAGTTTTGTAAACATTTAAGGTATGTTCTCTCATTTTTCATACTTTAATATTTGTGCATTTACATTATACATAAAGAAATCTGTACAATATTTAATAAAACACTGATTTTAAATTTTAAACTTGTCAGAGGTACTTGGCCAGTCAAATTCATAGGGGTAAGTGTAGGGCATACGGAAATTCCAGTCTCAGAAGTCCTAAGATGACAAAATAGATTTACATTGGACGTAGGTACAAGATATTCTTGAGACACACTAATTCGCACTGTTCACCCTCTCACTTCATTTTATTAACACTGGAACAGAAATATTGAAACTTATATTAAATATGTAACATTACATGTTATTGTTACATAGTTACATGGAATTGAAAATGAAACAATCCATTTACTTATATATGCTATTCAATAGGAACGCACTATAATGTTTTATTTTGCTGGAATGAAGAAAAGGACAATACTGTTAATATCTATTAATTAAGTGCAATTTGATGAGTCATAGTAGCAAATATAGAATAATAAAGTGACTTTGAAAATTATTTTGTAATATTTATGTAACTAAGTAAGAATGTGCAAATATGGTGACATCTGGGAAAATGAAAATTCGTGTTAAAAAGGGGTCCTTGTGGATTAATGAACACTTTTTGCAAATCAAATTACTATCATGAAATCAGACTAGAGACTCTGGAGCAGGAAGGTCCCAAACTTTATTATGCCACCAATTTAACAAAACAGTAATAGATAAAGTGGTTCTGCTCTTACACACACGCAACTGTATTTACTTAACAGTATAAATTATTCCTAAACTCATTCATAACTTACAAGCAAAATAGAAATTAAAGCACAATTCACAATTTTGTAACATGGGTACAACAGAATCAAGGGTTTGAAGAAACAGAACATACCTTAAATCAATTTGCTGCAGTCACATTGTGGATATGTGCTTGTATGTACGAAAATAAGAAAAGAAGTCACTTTCTAAGCATATTTATATCAATGAATTATGAAGAAAAATATCATGTTTCATGTATTCACCATTTAATATAAAAGATAAATATTATATTTTGTATACTGAGAATATTTTTACATTAACTATACTGTTAAAAATGGTTTGTAGACATTACTTTTCTAAACAAAATGTTAATTTTACCTCGAAAATAAATACTAGATTATCTACAAATTTATATGAAACACAAATGTGCATTTCTGTAGCTATTTGGAAGACAATTAACTAATTTTCAAAGTTTTCTCAAAATATTCATTTTCTCTTTAATATGACAAAGAAATGACTATGCTGTAAAATACAGAAATAACTATTGTATGTGTAACTGAAAGTTTTGTAACTTCAATAGTAAATACAGAAAATTAAATTACATTACTAGAATCTTAAGGAAGTAAAGAACAATATGAAATAAACAAGTACACATAGGAACATTCACATTATTTTTCATACATCATGAAACATGTTCTGAAAAAAATTTTTGTCAGTACTTTACAGCCCACACTAGCAATACGCTGCAGGGTACATATATCAAACTTACATTTACATCCAATTCCATTTACGATCTTTAAGATCTGATTTGCACGCTTTCTTCTGATGAACCACTTCGAAGTTTTTGCATTCCCCATGGGTAATGCCATTTCAGCCATTCCAAAATTGCACATGTATGTTTGCTGCAACTCTAGAATCATTCATCAAAAGAAAGCATCCAAATAGGGTCCAACTTTCTCTTTGTAATAATTATATATGGGCGAAAGAAATTAACTAATGATATACATGGAGAAACGTAAGTTTGTAAAAAATGATTCATCAGTCTAGTTTGCAAGTCAAAATCTGTTGTAGACATAAAAAAGTCAAGTAAACTTTCAGTATGAAATTACTGATTACACCATCAAAGGGTGTTAAAGCATTTCCATTTCAAAGTTTTCAATTCCCAGATATTTTTCAGTAATAAGCAACACAACACATTGGTATGATTCACAGATAAACAAAACATAATTAACTAAGGCCAATAAAGATGGAAAATGGCTGGCTTCTTATATCACAAATCACCAGCAACAAATGAGCTGCCAAGATGCCTTCCATATTTCTTAAAAATTGCTTCTTCAATGCTTTCACTGTATATGAAACGTCCACTCCCTCGCCCTCTGTCAAATATGATGTTACTTGTTTTTCATCATCAATGTCCTCCGAGTAACACGTCCACAGAAGAGTCCCATGATGAAGATCACTCCCACCATGCTGAACGCCATAATTAAAAAATATTTTCTTGAGGGTGAGTGTGTCACTGATGTATACAGTTCTTCAAAAGTTTCAGGAGGCTGGATCTGCACCAAGAAACGTTCAATAAGGGAGCAGGAAATACTATACTGAACCCTTAATTTATGTCTCTTTCTTATCTCAAAAACAACCAGTAAGAATTAAATAAAACTATTTAAAAGAAATAAAGACTGAATTAAAAGCATAAATATTTAATTAACTATCACCAAACAACTTAATGATTTATTTTGAACACTATTAACAACTTTTGAGGACAGGCACTGTCAAAACACCTGGTACTAAGACATTTAATTCAGAAGAAAATAACTTTTAAATTATTTAAATATAATACCTTAGCTGCTATTTTGAACATTTCCATTCGCTTTGTAAGCATTTTGTAACAGTCAGGTTGCAACTGTTGATTTGACAGCTTTGCTTGTAGACACTGTATATCTGTTAATGACAAATACAATTATGTTAACCTCAGTATTTTATAATAGCCTACTTTTTAATATTAATGAAATTAAAATAAAGCAAAACTTCCAAGTAGCATCATTTATCAATAATTACTGTTCTTCAAGGTTTTATCTACACATCTCAACAATTTTCAATACAATTTTCTTCCTTTGCAAGAAAATCTCAAAGTTCTTTTTGATTTAAATACATGTCCTCACAAGACAGAAATAAAAAAGCAGTGTGTAAATTGGGTGCCTTTTTAGTCGTGTTAATTTTTTTCTGAACGAAGACATTCATTTCTTTTGAAAATAATAAAAAAATTACATATTCCTGGAATGTTTTTATACTTCTGCAATGCAAATTTTTGCCTTGAAAGCATCATTTCAAACCAATATTTGAGTGCTCATAGCCATTTGGAATATCCAAGTAGTTTATACATGCTTAAAATTGTCTTAAGAGCTTATTTTTGAAGTTTCAACATTTCATGTATTTCAATCATAACGAGCTCTAAGATATTCTTGCAAAGGTATAAAATTATTGTAAATTATCATTAATACTATACAAATTATTATAAATATATAAACAAAAAACCAACAAATCCCAGTGAAAATGTTGTTTATGTGTAAGCACACAACAGAATATCAGTTATGTGTATGCATACAAGTGAATGAACTAAAAGAAAATAGTGGTACTACCACCAGTGTAGGGAAAAGTACCTAAAGAGGGAATTGCACTTGATTACAGATACTTGTCAAATATTATACTCAAAACACGGGCAGACCCAGGGACAAATTTGGGAGGGGACATTAAATCTGTTTTGGTCGAAAGTGTAATATTACAGATTTTGTAAAATGTCGCAGGCTACTCTCAGATCATGCTGCAATGCGATTTTATTCATTTTAATGGTTAAAATGAATTAAAATATTTTTGCTTGAAAGTTTCGGGACAAGTTAAAATTATTAATTACTAAAAAATGTTATATGAGAAATTTCCTTCGTTGAGTATATGCACCTGATTACAATTACAAATTACATTTTCAGTAATTAGTAAAATTATAATTACAAGAATATGCAAGAGTGAGAGAGAGAGAGTGAGAGAGAGTGAGAGTGAGAGAGAGAGTGAGTGAGTGAGTGATTGAGTGAGTGAGTGAGTGATTGAGTGAGTGTGAGTGAGTGTGAGTGAGTGTGAGTGAGTGTGAGTGAGTGAGTGAGTGTGAGTGAGTGAGTGAGTGTGTGTGTGTGTGTGTGTATAAATCATGATTACACGCGATGTAATGATTACTACAAATTAATGATTACAATTTTAAAATGGGGAGTAAATTACAAGTAAAAAATTTGTGCTGGTAAAAGTAGCATTTACATGCTAATACAGTAATTGATACAAGTAAACGAATTACTTTTACTTAACTACTCCCCCAACACTGACTACAATGTCACATACTTTCTCACATTAATGGTAATGGCTAGGTGTTTGGAGAAAACAACACTATGCCATTTTTATAAGCATGTATTCCTCTATTTGAGCAAAAATTAGAAGAATAAAATGGATTTGTTTTTGAGAAAATGTCTGCACTAGTGGAAGTTACTGTTCATCGCAATTTCTTAAAAATTGTATTCAATAATTGATATTCAATTATCTGGCTGATGTTGCAGCCCTTGAATTGAAACAAATATTTTAATGGGGGGAGGCTCTGGAAGACAGACGAATCAACATTTTCTCAAAAACAAATCATTTTTATTCTTACTATTTTTGCTCAATAGAAGGAATACATGCTATAAAAATGGCATAGTGTTTGGTTTTCTCCAAAACACCTAGCCATTACCATTAATGTGAGAAAGTATGTGACATTGTAGTGCAGTGTTGGGGGAGTAGTTAAGTAAATAATTCGTTTACTTGTATTCAGATTACTGTATAGCAATGTAAATGCTACTTTTACCAGCACTAAATTTCTTTACTTGTAATTTATCCGCGCATTTTAAAAAAAAATATTGTAATCATTTAATTTGTCAGTAAATCATTACATCGTGTAATCATGATTTTATTACACATCACACTCACACTCACTCTCACAAACTTCACACAACAGCACTCACACACACACACTCACTCACACACACACACTCTCTACACACACTCACTCACACACTCACATCACAACACACTCACTCACACACACACACACACTTCTTCACACACACACACTCACACACACACACACACATTCGCAGGAATGCACCGAACACGTAATTGGCACAGCGCCGCTGACCGCCCAAACTACGAATTCTCAGAACAACATCTGACGCCAGAAGAGCTTTCACAAAAAGCCATTAAGATTAGTAAGTGCGTTGTGGAGAGAGCTAGGGGAGGATGGTGATGCTGACCCCTGGGGACGCCCGTATAAGCTGTGACGCCAGACTTAGGGGTATGTTCAGGCGACACCACTACTTGCCCGTTTCTTGGGAAAAGTTGTAGCTAGCCTGTTTCCTCGCCAGGTAGTATGTTACAACAGAAAAAATTGTCTGGAAGATTAATGGAGGTTCCGCAGTCCACGTTGGATGAAACTTTCCAGAGCTTGCGGCAAGGTCCAAGATTGCAAAGCCCGATTCTATGATGGACCCCTGATGGGTCCCAATGTAGGCAATTAGACCGCATTAAGACTCGCGCCGACTATCTTGCAACGCATATAATGTTCATGCATACGAGAGGGGAATTTCCCCGCGATGGAAGCCAGCAACAGCTAGTCCTTCTTCCGAAGGGCGATAAGCGACCTACTATCCGGCAGCTATCGCCAATATGCTTAATGCACCACAGTCAAGGCAAAAGTGTTGAGCGGATTATCTGCAATCGATGAGTCATTTAGCAGAGGGGCCTCAAGGATTGTGTGATAACCTCAGTACGGCTCTTAGAAAAGCGGATCCACGTAGATGCTATTAGGCAGTCATCTGACATCGCCGCAAAGGCATTGAAGCAAACGATGGAAAGGGTCCTATTTAGTATTGTTGGCTATAGTGACCCTACGACGTGAAAAACGCCTTTAACACTGCAAGGTGGAGCTTCCATTCTTTCTGCGCTACAAACTCTTGCGAGTTCAAAGGTACATCTCGAACTTCGGTAAACAAGTTACTGTTAAGGAGAGATCCTCCTATAATGAAACTGTGTCTCGAGTACAATCTTATAACGGTCACAGGCGGAGCTCCACAAATTCGTACTTCGGTCGATGTTGTGGAACATTATGTATGGACGCCGTGTTGAAGCTGCGAGTTGCCGGAATGCGCAAGAACGATTGGATTCGCTGACGATGTTTGCAATTGCGTTTGTCGGAAATACATCGAGCAAGTCACCAGGTGCACAACGAGAGCGTGGCGAGATCCGAACGGTGCTTACGTCGGGTAGGCTACGATGGGCGCCCATTAAACAGGCTTGTGCTGGACGGCAAAAAAGTGTAGAGAGAGTATTCTTCTTAATGTAGGCTGCAAAATATCTCGCAGCTGGTCACTGAGGGTATTTGGGAGTGCATATTTTGACGCGAGACTCGCTTTGACGAGCCCTGCGCAATGTCTCCGAAAAGCATCTCGTATGGCATGCCGCATTGGCACGCATTATGCCTAATGTAGGGGTCCTGGGCTAAAGAAGCCGGAGCTGCTGCTAGCGTAGTAAATCTCATCTTCTCTACGCGACGCCCTGTTTGGCTGATGCATGGGCTTCAGTCATACGCCCGTGGCGTAAGTCGGTGCATAGATAGTCGCCTTGCGGGATTGCTCGAGCCGTTTCGCACGTATCCTATGATGCCTGTGTGTGTTAGCAGGATATCGCCTCCGATGACCTCATTGCGCGGAGTAGCTAAACTCTATTGCGCAAGCGGAGAGGGGCCTCAAACTGGAATACATTAGAAAGAAGAGAGGAGGTGACAATGACCAAATGGCAAGCGACGATGGAGCAATCATAACTCGGCGATGGACATTTCGGTGCATTCGACGTTGGACAAAGGGAACCATGGAGAATTAGATTTTTTACTAACTCAGATGCTGACAGGGCATGATGTTACGGAGTATCAGCTCCGATTCCGGCTGACGATATGCTCATCATGCAAGGTTTCCCGGTGATTGAAGATGTAGAACACGTTGTTCTTCATATTGTCCACGCTTCGCAGGGAAAGGGAAAGAACTTCACAGACTCTCCAAGAGGAAACGTGACCCTGAACATCGTATATGGGATGCTGCTGACACAAGAGTATTGGAGTGCTACCAACTATGCGGAAAGTCCTGAAAGACGCTCCGCTCCGAGGAGCAGTTACGAAGAAGACTCCCGTAATATTCTAGCGTGACGTGCGAAAAGCCATCCTTCTTCTCGATGCAATTGCTGACGCTGTTCGCGCGAAGAATAGAGAGGAAAGGAGGGTTTTTATGGGTAGGCATTAGGTAGCTATGAATCCACAGCTCGGTTCGGGCCCGCTGATGTTCTTTAGAAGATTTTCCCCTGCCACGTAAAAAAAAAAAAAAAAAAAAAAACACACAGACACACACACAACACACAACAACTGATCTCTACTGTGCATATTCTGTTAATAAGAACATATACTCAACGAAGGAAATTTCTCCCCTAACATTTTTCAGGTAATAATAATTTTGTAACTTGTCCCGAAACTTTCAAGCAAAAAATATATTTAATTCATTGTTAACAATTAAAATGAAATAACAATCGCATGTGCAGCATGTCTGAGAGTAGCCTGCGACATTTCACAAAAATCTGTAATGTATTACACTTTCGACCAAAAACAGATTAATGTCCCCTCCCAAATTTGTCCCTGGGTCCTGCCGTGTTTTTGAGTAAATATTTGCACAAGTATCTGTAATCAAGTGCAATTCCTCTTAGGTTATTTTTCAACACTCGGTGGTAACACTATTTTCATTTAGTTCATTTCACTTGTATGCATACACATAACTGATATTCTGTTGTATGCTTACACATAAACACATTTTCACTGGGATTGTTTGGGT